AGACAGCGCGACAGACAAGTAAGAGAAGGAGAGGGTACTAGTTACAGGAGTGGTAACACAGTTACAGGAGTTGATACAGTTACACGGAGGTACAGTGTTAACAGTTACAGTAGTGTACACGTTTACAAGGGAGGCTGCAGTTCACAGTATTCGAGCAGTTACAGGAGTGTACAGTTAACAGGAGTGTACAGTTACAGGAGTGCAGTACATGTAGTGTATCAGTTACAGACGTCGTACATTACTAGGAGTGTACAGTTACAGGAGTGTACAGTTACAGTTACAGGAGTGTACAGTTACAGTTACAGGAGTGTACAGTTACAGGAGTGTACAGTTACAGGAGTGTACAGTTACAGTTACAGGAGTGTACAGTTACAGGAGTGTACAGTTACAGGAGTGTACAGTTACAGGAGTGTACAGTTACAGGAGTGTACAGTTACAGGAGTCGATCAGTTACAGGAGTGTACAGTGTAGCAGTAAGTGTACAGTTACAGGATGTAATCAGTTACCAAGTAGTGTACCAGTTACAGGAGTGTACAGTTACCAGTTACAGGAGTGTACAGTTAGCAGGAAGTGTAAACAGTTACAGTTACAGGCAGTGTAGAGCTTAACAGGAGTGGTACAAGTACAGGACACGTGTACAGTTACAGCTTACAAGAAGTGTACTAGTTACAGTTAAGCAGTTACCCAGGAGTGTACAGTTACATGGATGTAACATTTACAGTACAGGAAGTGTACAGTGTAAAGTTACAGGAGTGTAACAGCCTACAGTTACAGTTACAGGAGTGTAGCATTACGAGGGAAGTGTACAGTTTACGAAGTTAATATCAGGAGTGTAGCAGTTACAGGGAGTGTACAGTTACGAGTACAGAAAGTGTACATTACAGGGCCCGACAGGTTACAGGATTACAAGTTAGTGTAGTCGTTAAACAGTTCACAGTGAGCTGACTGGAGCGATGATAACTGTAAGATGAGGAGAGATGCACGATAGTCAGAGGCAGAGCAGCAGCAGCAGGAACAGCAGCGCGACGACAACTGTAAGAGAAAGAGAGGAGGACAGCGAGTAAGTGAGCGGCAGCAGATCGTGAGTGGAGTAGTACGCGAGGAAAACAGGAACAGCAGCGCGACAATGACTGAAAGAGAAGATAGGAGAGAAGCGTCATGGCGAGTAAGCGACGGATCGTGAGATGGAGGAACAGCAGCACGACACTTGACAGACAGTCAGACAGACATACACTACGTTACACACAGTCCTCACATACGCACCTTATACCAACACGACCATTTCACATATCGACACGAAATAACAGGCGGCACAACAATAGCAACAATTCCACAACGCAGTAAGCGCAACAAATACGACTACACGTGACAACACGTCTTCCCCGACAATACACAAATGATAATATACAGGCCCACCGACGCTGTTACATAAAACATACCCCAAACCACCAAGCAACACCCCGGTTTGGAGACAATTCACCATAGTAAACAAAAATACAGCACGAGATACAGCTTCACATAGACAATACACTCGACGCTTCGGTCTCCTTCCGAAACTTGTGTAAACTGCGCCAGCACCTACCACGGAGTACGCTAGCTGAAAGGTCTTGTCGTATCAGTTACTCACATATGCATGTAGCCGGCCGAGGTACATATATGTATACACAAATGTATATCAGGACTTGCTACCTACAGAAGTGACCTCTTAACGCCTAACACCTAACCTAAACATAACCTCAATATAAAAATCAGTATAAACATAATATCACACTACAACTACTGCGGGTAGCATATAGTTGTAGTACCCTGATACGACAAGCGACCGTTTCGCGCCCCGAGTATGGCGCACAACTATGACATACACAACAGTACACGCGACAGAATCACACTGACTCAACGCTTACGGCCTCCTTCCCATAAGAACGGTGCGCGCCACCCAGCACCTAACCGCCGGAGTATGGGCGCTGCTGCGGTTGCTCCTCCTTTCCGTTGACGAGGCCCGACGCTACACTGCGGCTTCTGTCGATCACTGGCGCGGCAAGACGAAACGCGTTCGGGCGCGGATGCGCGTCACGCGACGACCGACCGCATCGAACGACCGCTCGAGACCGCAATCTTGCCCTCGAGCTCGCGGAGGGTGTGCGAGAGGGGAAGATGAGGTGGTCGAGCGAATACACAGGCCACACACACGGCACACACATCACATCGCATTCAGCGCGAGTGCGAGCACCATGCACACATACACCATCACATCACACGTAGCGTACGGCATGGCACAGGCGCCACGCACGCAGAGCACGCACACACACACAGAAAACACATACACCCACGCAACGTATGCACACCACACACCGCACGCACTGCAAGCATCGCAACGCACACTGGCACAGTAAAGGTGTTAATTAGTGACTCTGCGACATCGAATACGTCTGCCAGCAGACGACTCTTTGTTCTTAACTCGATCATTCAAGATCTAGATGTCGCTTAAAATTTCAAACATTCGAATTAAGAAATTCTAATTGACCAGACAATCGTAACAGCCGTCCGTATGGTCACTGTGGGCAATTACAGGAGGCGCCCCGAAATTCACGAAATTTTTTTGCCCACTTGAGTTCCGGACCACAGCCAATCAGCGCACTCCATTGCACAAGTCGACTTCCTCGAAGCAACAATGTAAAATGAATACCTCCTACCTTAACCGCTAACCTAACCCAGTACACCCCGAAACCTAACAGCTAACTATAAATCCCAATCCATATATATAGACGAACGTATATTCACAAAACACTATCTATGGGGTCCGGGAACTCGAGTGGGGGAAAAGAATTTCGCGCGCCCGCGCACAGCTGGCATTCATACCTCGGCCTTTAAATGTGGGTGACATGGGTACATTCGAAAAGTCGCTTCAACAGTGGAAATACCGAGCTTCATCGAACTGCACGTGCCGCTGAATATGGCACCAAACTAAGCCCTCCGCGTCGTGACATCGTCTCTGCAAGATAACCAAGTTATTAACGATAGAGCAACGTGCTCCATTTATGATGGATGGGTGAATGTGAATAGAGAGGGGAGGTGAGGGTGAAGTGTAAGAGATAGGAATGAAGGAGGGAGTGAGGTGGATGTGAGACAGAGAGAGAGACAGGGGTGAATGTTGATGATAAGGAAGAAGAGAGGAGGTGGGTGTGATGTGAGATAGAACGAGAGGGGGGAATGTGTGAGAATAGGCAGACAGGAGTGAATTTGAATGAGAGGAGGGGTGAATGTGAGATGGAGGGAGGGGTGAATATGAGTGAGATGGGGATGGAGGGTGAATGTGAGATGGGTTGGGAGGGTGAATGTCAGAATAGGAAGGGAGGGTGAATGTGAGATAGGAAGAGAAAGAAGAGGTGGTTGGATGTGAGATAGGAAGAGAAGAAGAAGTGGGGTGGATGTGAGATAGGGAAGGGAGGCAGGTATATTTTTTGTGGAGTTGCGAGAGAGGGAGGGAGAAAGGTGTGAAATGCTTAAGAAGAAAGTAGGAGGTAGAATGAAAGAGCAAAATGAGGAGAGGGGTCAACACACACAGAAGCGAATGAAGAGGAGAAACGACACAAAGAGAGGAGAAAGCAGTGTGAATAAATGTGGATGAGGGAAGGAGGTAGGGCTTGTGAGTGTGAATGAGAAATTGAGGAGAGACTGTGAACAAACTTTAAGCCCCAATGACGCCATGATCTGCAGTGCAGGGGCAGACGCGACCAAAGCATGTGCCCATGCAATTCTATATTCTCTATATCTCCAACATATTCTATATCTCTATATCTCCACATATCCTAATATGTCCAGCATATCTCTATATCATCCACATATCTCTATATGTCTCTAATTCTTACAGTACTCTTATATTCTCCACCTATCTCTATATATCTCTATATTGTCTACATTATCTCTATTATTTCTACATATCTCTCACATTTCTACAATATCTCTATATCTCTATATTTCTACACTATCTCTAATGTCTCTACATATCTTACTATTCTGCCGATGTATAATGGAGAGTAGCTGGTTGAGGCCTGCGTGTCGTGTTCGGCGGAGGATGTCAATTGTTTTCTGCGACCTTCGTCGTATTCGTCGATCTGGCGAAAGGCAAAGTGGACAAGCGGCATGTGAAGCGACTTGCTGCCGGTTGTCATCAACTTTCGTATTGGGTGAGACTTATTGACATGGCCAAAAACAAGGAGGGGGGGGGGGTCCATATCAAAAATTCTTTAACCGAATCTTTCGGAGAAAATTTTAACGCGTAAGAGATTCCTTTATGGGGATTGTTTACGACGCGAAATGGACCACCTCGAAATCCCCCATTTTCGGCACCACTTCTCAGTCATCAGCCGCCTCCCTGGGTGAAGAGGAGGGAGTGGTAAACACCCATCCCTCTGTTACCACTACACTGTCCGCATCGAAATCGCCGAGGTCACACCTACACTGTCTGGTGCCAAAAACTGGAGGAAGGGTCAGAGACTCCAACCCTAACATACCTAAACCATGGAGATTCTCAGCCCTAGACCCCTGCAAATCTGGTAGACCAACACTCTGAGGCGCCGAGCGAATCGCGGAAGGGCGAGTGCCAGATTACGGTGGGTCCAGGGCCGCCTTACGAATGCTCCTGGATCTTTTAAGGATTTTTTTAGTATTAAAACAAGCTATTTTTTACATCATTTGTTTGATTCATTTTATGAAAGAAACAAAGTGATAATAGCATCTGTAATATCGTAACCTAATTTCTGTCACTTATTTTTAATATATTTAACACTTTATTTAACACAATCTTTTTATTTATTGGGCGTATAAAACGAAACTTAAGCGAGGAGAAAATTGCAGTTTAAAAAAAAGCGGGAAATAAGTTGCAGCTTAAGCGGGAGAAACGGGAGCTTTTGGAAATGGGCCACAAAACGGGAGAATCTCCCCGCACAAAAGCGGAGAGTTGGAGTCTCTTGCGGTGAGGGGGTGGGTGGACCTGACCGCTGTAGATACGTGCCGGCGTTGTCCTCCTGCTGAACTGGCACCTCATGGTGCGGCCGTTGGTCAGCACGTGGTCGTCCTCGATGACCAGCTCCGTGCCGCGGCCGTCGTACGAGAAGCGGAACCTGACGGCGGCCTGCGAGCGAAACGAACGAACGCCAGCGAAACACGTGGTGCGAAACGCGTGAAGGTTTCCGGACACCACACGCGCGCACGCACGGCACCGCGACGCACCGGCACGCTACACACGCACACATATACCACGCACCACCCGCCACAACCACACCCACACACAGACACACAGCCGCACAGACACACACACGCAGGCATGCACACACACATGCAGCACGACGCACAACATATAAACCGCACCACCACACACCCACACACCACACACACACAGCACAACGCACAATGCACGCACAACGCGCACTAACACACACACATCACGCACATTTGCATCGCACACGCGCACACAACAACACATTACACGCACACATATACAGCGCACACCACACACCCACACACACACACATCCACAACACTACATGCACGCTACGGCACACGACACACGCACAGCCCATATACACTCACCCAACCACACAGTGCACCACACACACACACACACACAAGAAACACCACAAAACCGCACAATGCACGCACACCGCTGTCGCGCAACACACACACAGCATACCGCAACGCGCACCACACACACACACCGCACGCACGCCAACGCACGCACGCACAGCACCACGTATCAAGGATAACACGCACACACATGACAACTACGCCCAACAATACATCCGAATTTATCGATGTAGATCTCTTCGTCCCCACTTGCGTCGCGTTTCTTCCTTCTCCACCCACTTCTCCGTCACACTTGGCGACACGCACTAACAACCTCTCGCCTGTTTGCATTGTGGCACAAACCCGTTCTTACTCGCTGTTTATCTCTCTTCCTATCCTACTCAATCCCTCCCCTCCTCCGTCCTCCTCTCTCTCACCTCACCCCCTCATCCTTTCCCCCAACGCCTCTCTCTCCCCTCACTTCTCGAGCTGGTCGCTCTCTCCTTCGTTCCTCCCTACTATGGCCCGTCAGCTCCCATGTCCTCATCCTCCCCCCTCCCTGCTCCTCTCTCACCTCCCAACTCACTGATCAATCAACCGGCTTCCCACTCTCCTAACCTTCCTCGTGAACTCCATCGAGAAGAAGTCGGCGGCCAAGCGAGTAACAGACAGGTCACGATGGCCCCCTTGGCACGCGTCGTGCTACCAGTCCCAAAGAGTTACAACACCGCGGATATCGCTCGGTGGGGTGCTGCGCAGGCCGAATCGTGCAGATTCGTAAGCGGTGCGCGAGAGCGCGGCAGTCTTTATCAGCCAATTTTTAACTCCTGGCGACAGATGATGCGCCGTGAGGAAATGGGCAGCGTCCACCTTACGGTTGCAGGGAAACATTAGTTACGGGGATCGGGAAAAGAGGTTTGATCGCCAATTACAAATTATGACCATGATACATGCGCTGAGAGCACAGAGAAAGAAAACAAGTTAATAGATAAAGACAAGAATCGAATTCTGAATCACTTAGCTCGCAGCTTCACGCCAATCTCTGCAGAGGATGATGCGCAGGAGAAGATGGAGTGTTAGGTTACGGTTGCCGGGAAAACTTAGTTAACGGTCGCCGGGGAGCCTTATTACGGTCGCAGCAGGAGTTTAGTGTATGGTTGCTAGAGAGCCTTAGTTACGATCAACCAGAAAGACTTAGTTGTTACGGTCGTCATGTGAACGTTATTATGGTCCGCCGGGTGTCGTGCAAATCAAAAAGAATGTTGGTGAAAAAAGAAATTATTGTTCGACAAAAGTTTCCGTCCTTCCTTTGCTTTTCCTTAATTTCGTATTTTCGACGCAAATCCAACAAAGGCTTCAGTAGCAAACGAGTAAAAAGAATCCGACAACACCGTCGAAGACAAAACAACAGCGCCCGTCTAACAATCGGACTCGCGCTCACACTCGGTGCAGATCTCCCCGTCGAATGGTCAGTCGTGCAGTTGCACGCGTAGACGAGTAGCGCTCCAAGGCACGTTCAGTTGTTCATCGCAGGGGGCGCTGGCGCACTTGGGCCGTCGCCGGGCCAGGACTCCGTAGACCACACGACCGCGCGCTCGGCCGCGCCGCGAAGGTTCCACATCTCAACCGTTGACCTATCAGCGCAATCCGCATGACGCCGACGAAAGCCTCCGTGCGATCTGTCTTCGCTCCTGCAGCCGACAACAAATACGCGCACGCTGTGAAGATGTCCAGTGAGCGCTGAGTTGTTTACGCTGTGTGAATGTCCAGTCGAGTGCTGATGTGTTACAGTGGAGGCCGCGAGTGTTACAGTGAGCGCGAGTGTTACAGTGAGTGCAGAGTGTTTACAGTTGACGGCGAGTTTACGCTGTGTGACATGTTCCAGTGAGCGCGAGTCCGTTACAGGAGCGCCTGAGTGTTACAGTGAGGCGCGCAGTGTTATCAGTGAGTGTTGAAGTGTTATCAGTGAGCGGAGTGTTACGCTGTGTGAATGTCAACGTTGAAGCGCGAGTGTACAGTGAGCGCCGAGTGTATCAGTGAGTCGCGAGTGTTACAGTGAGCGCGATTGTTACAGGTGAGCGCGAGTGTACCATGTGATGGCCGAGTTGTTACAGTTGAGCGCGAGTGTTCAGCGAAGCGCGAGTGTTACAGCGAGCGCGATGTTCAGTGAGTGCGAGTTTACAGTGAGTGTGAATATGTTCCAGTGAGCGGCGAGTGTTACAGTGAGCGCGAGTGTTACAGTGACGCGAGTGTTAAACAGTGAGCGCGAGTGTGTACAGTGAGCGGAGTGTTACATTGTGAGCGCGAGTGTTTAACAGTGAGTGGCGATGGTTACAGTGAGTGCGACACGTGTTACAGTGAGTGCGAGTGTTAGCAGTGAGCGGGCGAGTGTTACGTGAGTGCGAGTGTTTACAGTGATGCGCGAAGTGTTTACAGTGAGTGTGAGTGTTACAGTGAGTGCGAGTGTTACAAGTGAGTGCGAGTGTTACAGTGAGCGGCGAGTTGTTACGGTGTGTCGATGTTCCAGTGACCGCGAGTGTTTTACAGTGAGTGCGAGTGTTTTACAGTGAGTGTCGAGTGTTACACGTGAGTGCGAGTGTTACAACAGTGAGCGCGAGTGTTACAGTGAGCGCAGAGTGTTACAGCGAGCGCGGAGTGTTTACAGTGAGGCGCGAGTGTTACAGGTGAAGGCGAGATGTTAATCAGTGATGCAAGTGTTAACAGGTGAGTCGCCGGAGTGTTTACAGGTGAGCGCGAGTGTGTACAGTTGAGTGCGAGTGTTACAAGTGAGGCGCGAGTGTACAGGGTAGTGCGAGTGTTACAGTAGCGCGAGTGATACAGTAGAGCGCGATGTATACAGTGAGTGCGAGTGTTACGAGTGAGCGCGAGTGGTACAGTGAGTGCGATGTACAGTGAGTGCGAATGTATCCAGTGAATGCGAGTGTTCCAGTGAGTCGAGTGTTACATGTGAGTGCGAGTGTTACAGTGAGTGCCGAGTGTTACAGTGAGCGCCGAGCGTTACAGTGAGTGCCAGAGTGTTCACCAGTGAGTGCGAGTGTCACATGTGAGCGCGAGATGTACATGAGTGCGAGTGTTACAGTGAGCGCAGAGTGTTACAAGTGAGCGCAAGTGTACAGTGAGCGCGAGTGTTACAGTGAGGTGCGAGTGTTTACAGTGAGCTGCCGAGTTGTTTACAGTGAGTTGCGAGTGTTACAGTGAGTCGAGTGTTAGCAGTGAGCGCGAGTGTTCAGTGAGTGCGAGTGTTACAGTGAGCGCGATGTTACAAGTGAAGCGGCAAGTTGTTTACGTGAGTGCGAGTGTTACGGTGAAGCCGCGAGTGTTACAAGTGATGTGCGACAGTGTTACAGTAGAGCGCGGAGTGTTACAGTGAAGCGCTAGAGTGTTTCCAGTGAGGGCGCGAAGTGTTTACAGTGGCGCGAGGTTACAGTAGAAGGCGCGAGTGTACAGTGAGTGCGAGCTGTTACGTGAGTGCGATGTGTTACAGATGAACGCGAGTGCTTACAGTGAGCGCGAGTGTTACAGTTGAGGCGCGGGTGTTAACAGTGAGTGCGAGTGTTACAGTGAGTGCGAGTGAGTATTCACATTGAGTGCACTACGTGGCAACCCCCCGTCCACAGTCCCCCTTCCTAACTTCCCCAGCCTCCCCCTCACGCCACCGCCTCCCTCCTCACGGCCTACCTCGCTCACAAGCATCGTCAGTCGCTCACATTCAGCTCCCACCTCACACCCTCAACTCCACCTGAATCCTCTCACTTCTCATCCCCACCTTACCCCCTGCACTTCTTCCCCCTTGCCCTCCACCGACCCTCTGCTCACGCGATCCGTAGAGTCCCTCGTACAGTTCCAGCCTCACGGAAGCATGGCCTGCCGCCTCCCCTTCCAACGCCTCCCCCCTCCTCCCTCCATACATCCCTCCCCGTCCTCGCCCCCCTCCTCACCGATCGTGAGGTCACTCGTCAGTTCCAGCTCGCGGAAGATGGCCCGCCGCCTCGGCGATACGCCGGTCGGCTTGCCGGCCGTCGCCGACGACCTTCCCTCACCCTCCTCCTCCACCAGCCTCCCTCCTCTCTCCTCCCCCAGCCTCCACACCCATCCTCCGCCTCGCTCACCGATCGTCAGGTCGCTCGTCAGTCAGCTCACGGAAGATGACCGCCGCCTCGGCGATTGCAGTCGGTTTGGCCGCCGTAACGACGACCATTCGCCTGGCGCGGCCGATTGCGCTCCATCTGCACGGCGTGCCACGCGTCGTCGTCGAGTCGCAAACGCCGGCGCCACCTTCAGCCTGCAGGATCTTGCATCGCGCCGCGCCAAAGCGTTACTGGGCACTGCAGCGAGCGAGCACCCTGCGGAAGATGAAGAAGGCGGAAGAATGAAGCTGGCGGAGATGGAAGAATCGCGAGTGTTGTTATTGAAGGGTGTTTGTTTATGTTAGGGTGTGTTATCAAGGGTGTTGTTATGTGAGGGCTGTTACATCTGTTGTTATGCAAGGGTGTTGTGATGTGAGGGGTGTTGTTATGTGTAGGGATTGTTATGTGTTGTTATGTGAGGTGTGTTTATTGTAAAGTTGTTATGGAGGGTGTTGTTATGTGAGGGTGTTGTTATGTGAGGGTGTTGTTATGTGAGGGTATTGTTACGCGAGTTGTTACATGGACTACCATAGACTGACGTAGAACTTCGACTACCTGCATGAAAGACATAGCAAATAAACATAGTATACCATGCGTAGCAATGACACAGCAAAGAACAGGACTTGAGAACGAAGGAAGGGGAGGAGGAACGGGAAAGTTTTTGCCCCCGCGCAGTCTTTGCATACCGGTAAGCGTGAGTTTGAGGAAGTTGTCCTGCGGTCCGTCGCAGTACACGAGCACACCGGCCGCCACCGTCGTCTTGAACTGCAGGTAGATGTCGAACGATCCGCGCAGCGGCGGCCGCGGGAACGCCACGAACGCGTCCTCCTTGCGGAACGTCACCATGTTGTCGAACAACGCTGAAAGAACCGAGGGGAACGGTCAGTCGGATGTCGACAGAGCAGAAGGTCGGAGGATGTGTGAAGGTGGTGAGGGGGCAAGGTTTGACAACACTCCCCTGTGGTCTTCACAACCCCGCCTCACTCACTGTTGTCAAGTTGATAACAAAATCTTAACTCGACCCCCACTTGAGGAATCCTAGTTAGTGACTCCACCCCACTTACTGTTGCCAACCTACTCTAACAAACTTTTAACTCGACCCCCACTTGAGGTAGCCATCCAAGTTAGTGACTCCACCCCACTTATACTGTCTCCAACCTGCACTAACAAACTTTTAACTCAAACCACGCTTGAGGAATCCAAGTTAGCGACTCGACGCAACTAACTGACGCCAACCTGCCCTAACAAAATTTCAACTCAACCTTTGCGCTCAACCCCTCTCCTCCCCGGTCAGCCTAACCTCCTCCCCCTACTCACTGTCTCCGGTGCATCGCAGCGGTCCCAGGCTCCAGTACGCCTCGCTGTCGTCGTCCGGAGCGCCCGTGTCTCCGACCAGCACCTGCGCGACGGGGAGATGCTCCTTCTGCCGGATCCAGCCCTCGTCGCCGAGCCAGCGCGCCTGCCCCGCGTCGCAGTTACAGTAGACGCCCTCGCTGACGCATGCTGCAAGAGGTAGGAGCCGGTTACTGAGGGTGAGGGGAGGTGGTTACTGAGGGTGAGGGGAGGTGGTTACTGAGGGTGAGGGAAGGTGGTTACTGAGGGTGAGGGAAGGTGGTTACTGAGGGTGAGGGGAGGTGGTTACTGAGGGTGAGGGGAGGTGGTTACTGAGGGTGAGGGAAGGAGGTTACTGAGGGTGA